GTTACTGTCCTGATCCCATGTGAGCCCTGGGCACTTGCACTGCTCAGGGCTCACTGCTCAAGGCTCACTGCTCAGGGCTCACTTCCACTTTGACTTGAATCATTCCCAGGCAGCACCTGTGTGTCCTCCCTGCTCATCTTTGCCTGGATCTCAGCGTTGCCCAGCTGAGCAGTTGGGACCCTTGGCTGCTGGCAGGCTGCCTGCCTGTTCCCATCGCTACGTGCCGGTAGGTGGTTCCTGTCTAATGAAGCTCCTTTCCAAGGGAGGCTGTTGACGTGCTCCAGCATCGCCAGATGGTCCCCTTACCTCTTCTTCTCTCACACTCCCTTGGAAGCATTAACGATCCCTAAACCTCTCTGATGGAGGGGCTCCTTTTTGTGACAACCTCATTACGTGGTTATCAGAAGCTGCCACTATCCAGGTTGTCAGGACAACCAGCTGATTCAGAGCTGCTGGGAAAGGTCTGAACCTCAGGCAAATAACCATCCCCAGCTCCCAGCAGATGCTCATCCACAGCCAATGGCTGGGGCGCTGGGAAGACGTGACATCATGGGCCAAGCAGGCCTCCAAATTTAATTGTCAGCTTTCAGCATCCCTCCGTGTCCCCTCCCCCCAGTGCTCTCCACATCAGCCCCTGGCACAGTTAATCAAGTGCTGCTGTTGTGCCATTTCAGACCCCCCTGGAGCTGCCTGGTCTCTGCAGGGCTGGCAGAGGGCCTCCCACAGTCCCCCATGTAATGCAGCCTCGGGGAGGAATGGGACCGTGGGGCCAAGTGCTGGTGCCTCAGCAGCCTGGCATGGGGGAAAACTGCAGGGGACTGGAATACCCACAGCTCTTAGGGGACAGAATATGTTGCTTCTTATTGGCATTTTTTTGACGGGGATGGATTGATGGGTCAGAGTTAATTTTATCTGTAAGATGAGCTGTGTGGCAGCTACCACTGCGTGTGGGAGGTTATTGGGATCCTTAACAGGATAACCTCTTCTCATGAAAACCTACTGACACCCCATCAGCAGTCACACTTACTGCTCAGACTGTCGTGTTTGCCAGCAAGGTGTGATAAATGTGGCAGGACCATTTCTGGTGTAGATGAAGGCTGTGTCCACCTTCCTGCCCTGCTGAAGCAGAGGGGTTTACTCTGTACCCTTGTGCCTTCACTAGGGCACGTCTGAGCCACCTCTGGAACCATGTATTCCATTAAGGTTACATCCTACATAGCACTGAACAAGGCTTCCTGCAGATCTGCAGGAGTTCTCCTGAATTCCTGCCCTGCTTGAGTGCATTACCTGTGAAAGCAGGATCAGGCAGCTCTTTGAAAGGATTTCTCTTTTTGCTCAAGACTTTCTTGGCCATCCCAGCTAAGTGTACCTTTGATTTCTGAAAATTTGGTGCTTGGTGTCGTTTGCTGAGACATTCAGCTTTGCATGCTCCTCTGGCACAGGTAAGGCTGCTGGTCAGGCAGTGCAAGTCTGCAGCCCTGCAGTCAGTTTGGGAGGTTCTATCTGATTATATTTAACAGGTGAGGTTACCTGGCACTGGGCTTTTGAAGCCCTCAGGCATGTTTTGTTGCTCAGAGCTAAAATTTCTTTTTCTTGCTTTGCTAGGTGTTGGCTACCTGGCCCTGAATTTCTGTAGGGTTGCATCTTCAGGAAGGAGTTGCCCTTGGGCCACTCCTGGCTGGGAACGCCCCAAGAAGGGGCTGGGAAGCTTGTGCACAGCCCGTCACAGAGACACTCCAGCACAGATGGTGGTGATACAGCCAATCCTGCCTGTTTGAGTACACAAGAAAGGAGCTGTTGGGGTTAGTGATGCACATGGTCCGGCCAGGTCCTTCCTCCTGCTTCTTTTTTTCTCAGACACCTAAAGCATTGGGCATTGGGGCTCAAATTAGGGCAGCTTCCGAAGTTATTTTTGCAGGATGAGATTCTTGTTCAGAGACCAGATGGCTCCTGAAATAACAGGGTTTGGGCAGGCCCTGCAGGTCTTGGAGGCTGGACCTCGTGGGTGGGCATGTGGACTCAAAGCATTTCCAACTCGCTGGGATGTGCATGTGACAGTCACACAGAACTGATGTGAGCAGGGACTGACCTGCTTTCCTATGCCCTGTGAGGACAAAGCCATCACCATGTCATGTCTGGGCCAGGTCAGGCCCAGCCACACTCTGCAAGTCTGGCACAGCCCAGACCATCCCAGGTGGACCCATGGAGCAAGTCCAGCTTGGACTGCTGAACCCGGCACCCTGGGACTGTGGAGGTGCCTTCACCATGCAATCACTCATTTTTTCTTTCCTCCTCTCTCCCAGCAATGTGCTTGAGCAATGTGCCCATTGTCAGCACATGCAGCTGCTTATAGTGAGCAGCAGAGCCCTCCAGGGTTCCAAGAGGGTCAGCCTCATTACAGCTGGCATGAGGAGCAAGGGAACTCTGTGGTTTGGGGAATTTTCCCTTTGTGGCCTTTGCTTTTTGCTGCCACTCTTTGTCTCCTTTGCCAGGCAGGCAAGGGACAGGCATGCAAAGTCAGCTTTCCATCATGTATGGGACAGCTGGCTTCCATTTAACAGCTCAGAGATAGCTGGAGAACCCTGGAAGGCTGAAATGCACAGATTCAAGGGCTTTGTGGTCCCCAAAGGCCAACCTGAAAGGCACAGAGATTTAAAAACCCTCTGTAATTTTCAGGCAAAACTCCACTGTGCACAGTCAACGCTTGCAAAGTTTCTTTGGCTCCCAGGAGAGTTGTAGCTTTGGACAGGGCTGAGCTTAAGAGATCTGATCTGCTTTTTTACTGCGTGCAGTCACAGAGTCAAGTTTCTGTTCTTTCACAGGGGAAAGGAAACTGAAACTCTTCCTTCATCTGTTGTTGCCCAGCCTTTGGCAAAGGGCAGCCTGACCTGGGCTTGGTGCTTCATAGAGCCTGCAGTTTTCTTATGGTACTCCTAAGAGCAGTTCTGCTAAAAGTTTATGCTAAAACTAGATTTTAGTTGGACTTTTTAAAAAGAATGGAAATTATTCACTCACAGATTCAGTCCTAACAACTGTAATTGCCTGATTTCATGCTCTATCTGCAGCTTTTCCTTGAGCTGCATCCCTCTTTTGGAAGCCTGTGAGCAGGACTTGCACTTCCCATGGCTCGTGGTACTCCAGGGCATGGGGCTGGTAAATGACCCACCAGTCTTTCCAAAGCCATCAGGAATGATTTTTACTCCAAAGGTGGCTGTGTACTGCTGGTCCCCCATCTGCTCAGTCCTTTCCAGCTCTGGGCTGTTGTAAACAACAGTTTGCAGCAGCCAGTGTGGTTTGCAGGGCTGGGTGAGCCTGCAGGGACCCTGACAGCTCCTCCAGCTGCGTTCCCTTCCTCGCTGCAGTCACAGGGCATTCCTCCAGAAGCTTTACGTGGACTTTGACAGGAGAAGAGCCAAAGGCCAAAACCTGCACTCTCTGCTAATTAACCCCCTTTGGCTCAACATTTTGTGTGTCCCCTGCAGGAGTTACCCCATTGCTTGTCCCAGCCCTCCTGGATGCATGCAGTGCTGTCACTGGACACTGACACTGTCACATGGACACCAAATGCAGCAGAAAATGGAAGGCCTCTTCTTCCGTTGTTGAGGGACAGCAGATTTTCACAATTCCTGCTTACCTTAGAAGATCCTGAAAGTCATCTATCCACAGGAGTAATTCTGTGTGGGAGTGGAAAGAACACTGACAATTTGCTCTATGGCTTGACTGTAATCACTGCAGAACCAGCCAGCTAAGTGACAGATTTGACTCATACTGGGGAAGAAAACCTTGGTGAGACTTCGGCTTACAGCAGGAGGGGATGGTAGTGATTCAGTCAGGGCTGCTTGTCACGTCAGTGTGGACTGGGTGACTCAATGAGCTCTTGCTTCTGGAGAACCGGTCCTTTGAACGAGCTGTAAGGCAGCAGCCTGATCACTCGTGGTCAGAGAAGATCACATGTCATGTGGTGGGGCTGGGACAGTTTATTATCTCCTCTTGGATACACGTGGCCTGCCTTACCTTTGGCAATAGCAGCCAGCAGAAGGTAAGTGGTCATTGCCTGCTCTTGGCTGTTCCATAATGTGTTATTACACATACTCTGTGCATGTCCATCAGGAAAAAATTCCCAACAAATCAAACAAAAAAATGGTCAAAGGTGTGCTCACTTTGGTATGTAAAGCACAGCCCTTTCCATTGGTGGCACTTGGAGCTGGTGGAGTTTCCTGCCAGCCCTGGGACCAGGCACAGCCCCAAGATCAGGGCATGGCTGGTGCTCCCAGCCCCAGCACTGCTCCGTGCCCAGGGCCCTGCAGGCTCTGCCACAGACATTGTAAAATTGGTCGTGTTTATCGGCACTTCTTTCTTTCCCCCTGGAAATATTGTAAATGTGAGATCATCCTCATCAAAGCTGCGTCTATTTATACTTTTGATACCTTTCATGGAGGAGCTGAACTCGTGGATTCAGAAGGAGCAGGAGAAGGACCACACATTGCCTAGGGAAGCGTAATTCTAAAAGAATGAAGGAGAATGGAAAAGACAGACCGTGAATAAGATTTTTTTCTTCTGGTGTGTTGGGAGATGTTTGCATCTTGCAGGAGTGGCCGGAGCTGGTTGCTCCAGCCTCGCTCCCGCTGGCCTTCTCCCACGTTTGGATGCGGACAGGAGAAGCCCGCAGGCTGTCACACGCAGACGTCATCCGGGGGAGCCCCGAATTTCACAGTGCATTTCCTATTCCCAGCGGACGAAGACCAGGGAGCGTGATGATGCCTTTCGGGACCCCCTGCCCGGCCGGCCGGCGCCGGTCCCGCCTCCCGGGTTTCCGCACCCCTCTGCGGGGGCACCCGAGCAAGGGGCTGGGAGGGCGAGCACCCCCCCGCGCCGCGCTTTCCCTGCGCGCTGCCTTGAAACACGAGATTTGCCCCCAGCCCCAGCCCCGGCCCGTGTGTCGTCACCGGCCGCCCGCCGCGCCCATTGGCTGCGCCAGCGCCGCT